GCTTATGATCTCATGAAGCAGTTTTCCTCAGTCCCAACAAGTTTTGGACACTTGGGTTTTTAGTGCTCCAGTCTTATGTACAGGGGGTCTTTTGGTTAGCTTTTGTCTTCCTGTCCTTAAATTTATCAGTTCTGTTCAAAGACTCGTTTGCTAAGTATCTTTTGAAGTTTAATGGACTATTTCTTTTCCTGTATTAGGCGCAGTACGTTTCGACCATCGAAATTGTCAAAAACAGGAATTGCTTGTGATTTACGATAAGCGGTGGTAGTTGGATGCTAAAACCAGCGGATGTTCTAAGTGTAACCCGTAATTTTTTCTAAATTACACTTTGACAGCTTTCTTGGCTTGGCCAAATTGCAAAAAAATCCTTCGTTTTCTAGCCGTTGAAACATAGTCATTCAGTGGTCTCTTCCTGTTGAATTATCGTCGCTTTTTTTGCGTTGTCGCAATAGAAATCAGTATCATCTAAATTTTGTATTTTGCAGCTACCATGACGAAAGTCAACGCAGTTGGAATCGATCTCGGCACCACCTATTCGTGTGTGGGTGTCTTCATGCACGGAAAAGTGGAAATCATCGCCAATGATCAAGGTATGTTTCTGTTTTTTTCCAGCTTTTTCTTCACTACATCGAAATGTGAATACGCGTTTGCTCAGTTGAAAAACGTTCTTGCAGGAAACCGCACTACGCCTTCATATGTTGCATTTACCGACACTGAGCGTCTCATTGGAGATGCCGCAAAAAACCAAGTGGCGATGAACCCCCATAATACTGTATTCGGTAGGATTTCTTCTTTTTCTGTGGACTTTGATGTTTATGGTGTTTGTTCATGTGGATCGAAATGTTCTACAAATTTTCAGATGCCAAGCGACTCATCGGACGCAAGTTCGACGATCCTGCTGTGCAGTCTGATATGAAGCACTGGCCCTTCAAAGTCATCTCAGCTGAGGGCTCAAAGCCTAAGGTGCAAGTCGAATACAAGGGAGAGACGAAGGTCTTCACTCCAGAGGAGATCTCGTCTATGGTTCTTACGAAGATGAAGGATACCGCCGAGGCCTTCCTGGGATCGCCAGTAAAGGTTAGCGAAAATGGTGTAGATTTAGTTTCTTATCTTAGATATCAGTAGATGAGCACAGATTTTCAATTCGAATTTTCACTAGTTGTTGATACAATGATTCTGCAAGCTCTAATGAAACCTACTTCCAGGATGCTGTCATCACTGTCCCTGCTTACTTCAATGACTCTCAACGTCAGGCTACCAAAGATGCCGGTGCCATCTCAGGAATGAATGTTCTTCGAATTATCAACGAACCCACTGCAGCTGCTATCGCCTACGGTCTCGACAAGAAGGGACAAGGAGAGCGCAACGTCCTTATTTTCGATCTCGGAGGTGGTACCTTCGATGTCTCTATCCTGACTATCGAGGATGGAATTTTCGAAGTAAAGTCTACTGCTGGTGATACTCATCTTGGAGGAGAAGACTTTGACAACCGAATGGTCAACCACTTTGTCGCCGAATTCAAACGCAAGCACAAGAAAGATCTCAACACTAACCCTCGTGCCCTCCGTCGTCTCCGCACCGCTTGCGAGCGTGCCAAGCGTACCCTCTCTTCGTCATCTCAGGCTTCAATTGAAATCGACTCGCTGTTTGAGGGTATTGACTTCTACACTAACATCACTCGTGCTCGTTTTGAAGAGCTGTGCGCTGATCTCTTCCGTTCTACCATGGACCCTGTGGAGAAGTCTCTGAGGGATGCTAAAATGGACAAGAGTCAGATCCATGATATTGTCTTGGTCGGAGGTTCCACTCGTATCCCTAAGGTGCAAAAGCTCCTTTCGGATCTTTTCTCTGGAAAGGAACTGAACAAGTCCATCAACCCCGATGAAGCTGTCGCCTACGGTGCGGCTGTGCAAGCTGCTATCCTTTCCGGTGACAAGTCAGAAGCTGTGCAAGATCTCCTGCTTCTCGATGTTGCTCCTCTTTCGCTTGGTATCGAGACCGCCGGAGGTGTGATGACCGCTCTAATCAAGAGGAACACGACCATCCCCACCAAGACCAGCCAGACATTCACCACGTATTCCGACAACCAACCTGGCGTACTTATCCAGGTCTTTGAAGGAGAGCGTGCTATGACCAAGGACAACAATCTCCTTGGAAAGTTTGAGCTGTCTGGAATTCCGCCAGCGCCTCGTGGAGTACCTCAAATTGAGGTAAGATTATCATAGTTTGTATTTTCTGTTCGCGTATGTATTTGTACTGAGTTTTCAAATTCAGGTTACCTTCGATATCGATGCCAACGGTATCCTCAATGTCTCAGCCCAGGACAAATCCACTGGCAAACAGAATAAGATCACCATTACAAACGACAAAGGCCGCTTGTCTAAGGTACCTAGATTTTTTAAAGTTTTATCGGATAATAAGGTTTGTGGAATAGTTTCGAATTTTGTGTATTATAGGATGAAATCGAACGTATGGTCAACGAAGCCGAGAAGTACAAGAGGGAGGATGAAGCTCAGAAAGACCGTATTGGAGCCAAGAACTCCCTTGAAAGCTATGCCTTCAACATGAAGCAGACTCTTGAGGATGAGAAGGTTGGTAGTGTTTCTTCTTTCAAAATGGTTACTGACACTTAGTGGCATTAATTGTTTCACTTTCAGCTCAAGGACAAAATCTCTGCTGATGACCGCAAGAAGATTGAGGACAAGTGCAATGAGGTTATCAGATGGCTTGATAGCAATCAGACCGCCGAAAAGGATGAGTTCGAGCACCAACAGAAAGAACTCGAGTCCGTGTGCAATCCCATTATTACCAAAATGTACCAGGCCGCCGGTGGTGCTCCTGGCGGTATGCCCGGACACCAGGGTGGTGGATCCTCCAACGCTGGCGGACCAACCATCGAAGAAGTCGATTAAGATGTTGTTATCTGATCTCTGTAATAATCACGAGTCGAAGATCTGGGTTGGGCTCGCGTGAAGCTCTGTAT